TTCCTCACACATTACCGTTATCCTCCACTCAAGCTCTTCAGTGCACTACTGGCTCTTCTCTCCATTTCCTTCATCAGTGGTATCGTCGTTTGGGTCATTCGTCCTTTAGTATTTTAGAAAGGCTTTTTCCTTAATTAGTTCGAGATTGTTCTAGGAATAATTTTGTTTGTGATGCGTGTGAACTCACTAAACATAAACGTACTTGTTATCCTTAATTTAATAAAAGAAATATTTTTCCTTTTTTGCTTGTTCATACTAATGTGTGGGGACCTTCCCTTTCCCTTGTGGTGTTTACTTTTGGATATCGTTGGTTTGTCACTTTTATTGATTGTTATTTTCGTATGACTTAGGTTTATTAATTCGAACTAAAAGTGAGGATTTTTTTTTTATTTTTTATTTTTTTCTTCTTGTTTTTGCCTTTTCCCTGAAATGGTAAGCAATCTCTTTAATGCTACCATTAAAATTCTGTACATTGATAATGGGACTACATATGTTGATGGTGATTTCCAAGCATACCTTGAGTAGCATGACATTCTTTACCAAACCAGTTGTGTTGGTACTCCTCAGCAGAATGGAGTTGTCGAGCGTAAGAATGGCTATCTTTTTGAAGTTGCTCGTTCTCTCTTGTTGACCATGAATGTCCCCAAGTCTTTTTGGGGTGATGCTGTTCTTACTGTTGCTTATCTCATTAACTGTATGCCTTCCAGTGTCCTCCAATTTCAAATTCCTCTTGCACTTCTTCCTATGACTGATGTAGGCTGAAAGGTATCATATTGAGGCCACTTAAGTTACATTTATATTCTTTGAATTATGATTATTTGGCGAATATGATGTGTTTTGTGTATTTGTGTAGATTTGGCAAGTAACACACAAATTCAAGCGAAAAGTGGCACAAAAGCAGATTCTCTACTTAAGTAATGAAATTTCACGGCCTGCCATCTCACCGCTTGTGCGGCCAGACTTCACCGCTCGAGTGGAGAATGTGGGCGCTCGAGCAGTCAACCTAGGGACACGTGTGCGGAATTTTAATTTTGTTTCGCTAAGAATTTAAGAAGGCAAAATAGATTGGAAGAGGGTTCTAAAATTTTCCAAAAACATAGGAGGGGCTAGGGTTTGAGGAGAAGGGGTTTCAAGCTTCAAGAACATCTTCCTTGGTGGTTTCCTCTTCCTCTACCTCTCTCATTCCTCCATGAGTGGCTAGTTCTTCTATTTTTAGGGTTTTGATGAAACCCTAGCCAAGTAAATAGGGGTTTCTCTTTGGTTTTCATTGTTTTAATGGTTTGAACAAGTTGTATGGTGTTCAAGAAGTTTTTAAATATATTTTTCATTATTTTCTTCAAGTATTCTACTTTCTGTGATTGTTGAATGCTTTCCATGCAATGGTTTTCTATTCTTTGATATTCAAGGTATGAGACGAGCCATACTACGAGGGATAAGTCGTGTTGGTACCCTAACTTAAAGCGAACGAATCGTGCTACTTCAGATGGTTCGTGTCTATATATTGAACATGATAATTCTCTTGGTCAATGCTTCGAACTTGTAGTTGTGAAGTATTATTTGGTTCAAACCATAACACAATTGATTTCCAATTTGAGACCTAATTTATGTAACTAATGGTGAAATTTGTAACCCTAGGTTTTTCCCAAAATCACTATCTTCAACTTCAATTTTAATTGCTAGTGTAATCTCTTATTTTCTTTTAATTATTATTAGTCTATGAACCATCATCTTGTTGATCAAAATTAATTTAGGAATTTAACAATTAAATTAGTTTAATTTCACATTTGTCCCTGTAGATCGATATTTGGACTTACCATTATTCTAAGGAATTTGGTACAGTTTAGTGTTTATTTTTTGTGTACCGTTGTCGAGGACTTTTGGCGTAATCAATTATTTTAAAGTTATATTCTTATTTTAATATTTTTAGTTTAAGATTTGATGCTTTCGTGTTACTAAGTGTGTAGAGTTTTTGCAAGTGGAGCTATCACCAAAGTGCGAGCGAAGCGCAATCGAGCTTTAAAAACAAAATGTAGCACCAAAGTGCCTAATAAAAAAATAAATTAAAAAGCAAATACTCGTAAGCAAAGCACCAAAGTGCTAAAAATAGTGAGCTCAAATGGAGATTGGAGACAACGGTCTACACGTCAAGCATCTACAAGACAACTAAATCGTTTTCGTTAAACTGCTGTGAGTATTTTCTCCTTTGGCATTTTGTTTTCATAACTTAGTGCAAAAGAGTCGAAACTTAGTGTGTGTGAGTGGTGTATGCACGGGCACCATTCTTGCTGCTCTGAATTATGGAGTTTGGACTATCCCACAGGGTTGGAAAGAAGTTGTTAATGATCCTAAGTGGAATGAGCTATGGTAGAAGAGATGCAAGCCCTAAGCAAGAATAATACCTGGGAGTTGGTTTCTCTTCCAAGTGGAAAAAAGCCAGTGGGGTGTTAGTGGGTGTTCACCATTAAGCAGAAGGCCGATGAGACAATTGAATGGTACAAAGCAAGATTAGTGGCCAAGGGATTTACCCAGACATGGAATTGATTATCAAGAAACCTTCACTTTTGTAGCAAAGATGAATTCCATTCGAGCCATTCTTTCATGTGCAGCTAACCTGAGGTAGCCTTTACAACAACTAGATGTGAAGAATGCATTTCTTCATGGGGATTTAGAGGAGGTTTATATGGATGTGCCACCAGGATTCTCCTTTCAGTCTACAGTTGGGAAAGTCTACAAGTTGAAGAGAGCTTTATATGGTTTGAAACAATCTCCTTAGGCTTGGTTTGATAGATTTCTAAAAGCAATGTTGAGGTTTGGGTATAAGCAAAGCAATGCAGATTATACCATGTTTGTCAAACACAATGCACATAAGGTAACTGTCCTTATTGTATATATGGATAATATAGTTGTGACAGGCAATGATGAGGAGGATGTGACACATCTGAAGATACAGTTGGCCAAGGAGTTTGAGATCAAAGATCTTGGCCCATTGAGGTACTTTCTTGGGATTTAAATTTCCAGATCTGATAAAGGCATCTTTATTTCTCAAAGGAAGTACATTCTGGATCTTCTTGCAGAAACAGGCATGTTAGGCTGTAAACCAGCTGATTCACCTATTGAGGTTAACCATCATCTTTGCAATGTTGTTGGTAACTCGGTGGAGAAGGAAAGTTACCAAAGACTTGTGGGACGACTTATATATGTATCCCACACTCAGTCGGATATTGCTTATGCAGCTAGCGTTGTAAGTCAGTTTATGCATGATTCTCGTGCAACACATTTGGAGGCTTTGTAGCGCATCTTGAGATATCTTAAATCTGCCCTGGGAAAAGGACTTCTATTTTCTAATCATGGGCACTTGAAGTTGGAGGCATTTACTGATGCTGATTGGGCAGGTTCTGTAGATGACAGGTCTATATAACGATTTTGGTTTAGACCAAACTCATTTCTTGCTTTTGAATTTGGAAACCATGTCCTTAACTATTGTTCATTCCATTTTCATCTTGTTGTTAGTTGAGTTTGGTTGTTTAGGAGTTATTGTTGCGTTTGGAACAGGTTGAGAGTTAGTTTTTTCAAAGAGTTGCTGTCTAGTTTTCTTCTTATTCACTTAAGCAATCTTTCTTGCGCTCGAGCAGTCTTTTACAGTCTGTAAAACTTCTGGAAATAGAGAGTATCTTCGCTCGAGCGGTATTTCTTGTGCTTGAGTGGTTTTTTACAGGTCTGAGTTTCTGGGAGGGTGTCATTGTGCGCTCGAGCTATGTTTTTGGTCACTTGAGCGGTGTCACTTATTGTGTCTAATGCTCGAGTGGTGTTTTGGTCACTCGAGCGGTTTGTGCATATATTAGTTCGAAAAAAGGGCTTTCTGAATCACTTTTCATTTCCTCGCTCTCTAAAACATTTCAAAATCCTAGTTCTTCACTTTCTCTCTCTAGTTCTTGCTTAAAACCTCAAATACACCCTTACCTATTGATTTCTCCACCATAACTCTTTGGAGAAAAATGTAGAGTCCATCTAAAGCTTCGTCCTAATCAGTGAGAATCTCGTTTCCGGCTCCGCTAAACTTCAACCCTTGCCCTCTCTTGTCTTCTAATCGTAAGGTAGGGATTTCTTCAACCTTTGGTATGGCTTTTACCTTAGTTATTTGCTTATTGAAAGAATCTAGTGATTTGAAGATTTTGGGTTAAACCTAGGGTTGGATTTTTGAAATGTAAAAGATGGGTTTTCAAATAGGTTCTTGAGAAAGAGATTGGGGATGTGCTTATGGTTGAGATATGTTAAAATGGTGGATTTCCTTAAATTGATTTTGAAAGTAAAAGGGATTTTGTTGTAAAATTATGGATATTTGGTTTGTGAAAAAAAAATGGAAAATCATGTTGGGTTTTGAAGGAATGAAACGAATATGTATGTCGAAAAGGATGGTAGAGTTGGATATATAATGTCACTCCCATTTTGAAAATGATATTATCTGTTGAATAGAAATATCTATTTTGGGCTATCAGTGGATGATGGCTTTGATTGTTGTAGAAATTGTATGAGGATTAGGTGAATTGAAACTAATTACTCATACATCTTGCATTGAACATTGTTTTCTACTTAAACATTGAAAATGTATTTTTTTTTTTTAGAAAAATGGGTTAATACTTTGGTAAATCTGGTTAGGGGGTGTGGTTATGATTATTATGTTGGCTTGTGTGTCCTTGGCGTAAGTTTAGAAACATGTCCGGTTAGTGCTGGTAAAATGGCTTTGGTAGTGCTTGTATAGCCTACTGGTAGACACGTACCTAGAGATTCTCTGTGCGTATCAACTACCATATTTTCTGATATAAAAAGATATTTTCATGAATTGATTTATAATCTGACATTGCATTGTTTGAGATGAAAAATGTAAAATGTTTGACAATTGGCATGCCTATGCATCCACCTTGACTTCGTTGAAATTCATATATTGTGTTAAAGTATCTTTATTGGGTTTTAGCTCACTCTATGTGAAATACAATTTTCAGGTGCTGATGATATGCCTACTAATGGCCTTGAATAGAGTGGAGTGGGGAAGAAGGATTCATATAGCTGACCCTAGTTGATGGGACTTAAGGCTTGGTTTGGTTTGATGATATGTCTTTATCAAGGACATAACTTGGAAGGACTAGCTTTCTTTTGTTTATTTGATGTAATTATTTTTGTTCAAGCCTTGGGTTTTAATTGTATTGAGTTGAATTCATTTTGATGTACCAAAGTATCGACTTAGAAAGATGTAGCCATTATGGCATATAATTATTCTGGTTTTCTTTTATTTCAATCTTTGTACACATGTCATATGCTATAGATTCAGGATCTAGAATTATGAATATATACACGCATATGTCATTTTTTGTATGATCGATGATTATGAATGGAATATAAAGTATGATATTATCGATCAATTGTAAAGAATATTGTGAGATGTGTTATTGTTATTGTTATTATTTCGGGGTATTATAGTCTACATCTGGTTATTGCACTTTTGTAAGGGGTAATTTAGTCACTTGGCATAGTAAGAAACAGACAGTGGTACATCGGTCTGGTGTAGTGGCAGAATACCGAACTATGACACATGGTACTTGTGGAATCATGTGGCTTCAGTCCTTGTTGGGTGAGACAAGAATTGTTTGTGGTGTGATCTTATGATTTCGTACTGTAACAACAAAGCTACCATCAGTATTGCTTACAATCCTATTTAACATGACAGGACCAAGCATATTGAAAATGCCTGATACTTTATTAAGGAGAAATTGAATAAGGGTTTGACATGCATGGCTTTTGTGAAATCGGAAGATCAATTGGCTGATGTGTTTACTAAAGGTCTTAGTAGTAAGATTTTTTATCCAATTTGTTGCAAGTTGGGCATGAGAGATATATTTGTACCAACTTGAGGGGGAGTGTTAAGTGTTAGTGTCTAAGAGTAGTTATACATCATTTTATTCTCTAGTCTTATATTGTAAATACATGTGTAAGAGAGGAGAACCCTAATTGATTCCATTGTTAATACCACATCAGTTTCTCTCTCTCTCTCTCTCTCTCTCTCTCTCTCTCATATGTAAATCTAACACATATGAATGGTTCATATACATTTGTGGCAATATAGTACATGACACTAAATAATTTTTGCACTCACAAAAGAACCATGTTTGTTGTGTGTGTGTGTGTGAGAGAGAGAGAGAGATCTCATACTGGGTAGGTTTAGTCTCTTCATCACTGGTTTAGTCTCTTCATCTAACTGGCAACAAAACCTATCCAGTATGAGATGTATCTCTACAAGACCATGATCTCCTGACAAAGGCACCCTCAATGTTGTTTTTTGAGTCTTGTTTATGCCTTCTAACAATCTAATTCACATTAGGCCTTGGATCATCATGGTTCCATATACTGTAAAAGAATACAAACAGTCAAATTGACAACAATAGATTGAAAACAAAATAATTACTCAACAATAAATTGACTCAATGGAAAGTCATTGAGTCTACGTGTATTTTTGTGTGTCTCCATGTTGGGAAACTTGAGGGATGATTCATAGTCGAAACACTATCACAGAAAACAGAAACAATGGAAGATTTCAGCAGAGATTAAAAAAGAGAAAGGAAAAAAGAAAAGAAAAAAGAAGCAGCTTGAGCCAATCAATGGTTTGTGTCTACTTTGAGGATGTAATGTGAAGTGCCACTAGAGATGCATATGCACCATCAGTGATCTTCATGAGCACATCATGTGTTCCTTTCTCTGCTATCACCCCATTCTTCACAACGGCTATTACATCAGCACCTCTAATGGTGGTGAGCCGGTGAGCGACAACAATGGTAGTTCTATTCACCATCACTCTGTCCAATGCATCTTGCACCACACGCTCTGACTCTGCATCTAACGCACTCGTTGCTTCGTCAAGTAAGAGGATCTTAGGGTCTTTCACTATTGCCCTTGCAATGGCTATCCGTTGCTTCTGACCGCCCGATAATTGAACCCCTCTCTCCCCAACATTGGTGTCATAGCCATGTGGCAATGCCGATATGAAGTTGTGTGCATTCGCTGCTTTCGTGGCTGCAATGATCTCTTCTTCTGCAGCCTCTCCTTTCTTCCCATAAGCTATGTTAGTCCGGATCGTTTCATTGAAAAGTACTGGTTCTTGACTTACCAACCCCATTTGTTGCCTTAACCAGCTCAGTTTGAGCTTTTGGATCTCCACTCCATCTAGAAATATATGGCCGGACTCGGGATCATAGAACCTCTCAATTAGGCTTATTACGGTGGACTTTCCGCTACCACTTTCCCCAACAAGAGCAACAGTCTGTGATAAAATTTTTAGCTTAGCAAAATTGAGCAAAAATTATTGAAGAACAAAGAGGCTGTGCTTGTGCCTGGTTATTACCTTTCCAGAAGGAATGGTTAAGCATAAATCTCTGAAAATTTGAACATCGGGTCGTGTTGGGTATTTGAAACTGACATGTTTGAACTCAATATCTCCATTTATGGTTGCCAGGGTTGTGCCTTCATTGCTGCTTGAATCAATCTTGGGCTTGCTGTCAATAATTTCAAAGATAGAAGCAGCAGAGTCCTTAGCTTTGTTGGTGTCTGGGGCTAAAGCAGTGGTTTGGGAAATACCCATTGCTGAAATTGTCAAAGCAAAGAAAACCTGCAAAACCATTTGTTTGGAAGTGGAAAAAATGTGAAATTAGAAAGTGAAGGTTTTTTTTTAAAAAAAAAAACACTACGAATTTATTTATACCTTGAAAACTTCCCCAAAAGTAGCTTTCCCATGTTGCACTAGAACAGCTCCAATGTAGAAACAGAAGGCATATGTGCAGTAGAGTGCAAAAAGACTAGATCCAAAGCCAATACCACTCACAAGTCCAATCCTAACTCCATGTTTCATGGGGGCCTCACATTTGTTTTTATACATTTCTATGACTTTCTTTTCAGCACAAAATGATGCAACTGTTCTAATGCTGCCCACGGCATCGTTTGCAACTTGGCTCGCATCTTCATACATCACCTACAGACATTTACAAAAATCTAACTTGATTAGTATGTGATAAAGATTAATCCCCTCAAAATCCACCCCTTCTCATTTAAATGTCTGCTATACACTTATGCTTAGGGCTAAAAATGAGTCAAGTCAAGTAGTCAGTTCTTTAAGGTTGACTTGAAAACTTAACAAGTTTCAAATTGTGTTCAAGTTTAGCTTATTTACCTTTCGAGCCAATCTCAAATGAGCCTTACTCGAGTTGAGCTCAAATAGCTTGATTTTCATATAATGTATATAACATTCTCAAATAGAATTTGAGATAAATGTGCTCAAACTTAGCTTGTTACATAACAAGCCAATTTCAAATTTGAGTTTGAGTAGTTTGGTTTGTTTTACAGTCCTAACTGTGCTAAAATGGCTCTGGCCATAACTTAGGATAATGGACTGACCTTGGCATCTTCACTGAACCCTTTTAAGAATTTAAATTGAAAGAATCCTTGCAATCCCACCAAGGGCAACACAGATAGAATTATGAGTGCCAACATCCAATTAGCTGTGAATGATATGACAAGCCCTGCTATAATTGTTGTTATGTTCTGTACAATTTGCGCCAATGAATCACCCACAAGACTCCTCACTGTTGAAGCATCAGTAGACAACCTTGCTCCAACTGCACCACTGAAATGAATTCAAAACTTTCAGTTGAAAAGGCCTTTTGAAATAGAGAGCATTTGATCAATCAAAAGTACAAATTACTAAAACACACCTTGAATTTTTAGGGTTATCAAACCAACTGATTTCTTGATGGACAGTCTTCTCAAACGTCAAGGCGCGAATTCGCATTATCAACTTACCACCTGCAATTCCAAAGAAGTAATTCTGCACTGGTGCGACAAACAGAATAACAACACCGAGTCCCACAAACATAAGTGCCCAAAACCTTGAGTCCTTTCTTAGCTCATCGTGTGGTTCATAGAAAATTTTAATAGCTGTTGAAAGTAGGAATCCAAATATAGGGAAGGTCACACCATTAATGCCTGCAGCAATGGATCCAAGCAGCAAAACCGGCAACTCTGGTTTGTTTAGGTACATTAGGCGTTTAATGGACACTTGGCGGCGTTTCTTATCATCTGTCTCACTTCTTTTACTACTCTCCTCTCCTTCTATATCTGTTTGGATTCCAATAGGGCCGTGTAGTCCAAAGCTAATTCTGAAAGAGCGTTGGCTACCTGATGAACCTCTGCTTATGGATCTTCTCATGGATAATATCTGTCTTGCAGACCTTCCCATTGTTATGTCTACATCCTGAATTGTATCGAGATTATCTATGTCACTCCTTCGCGGATCTTCAACTTTGTTAGTCCCTTCTTGTAAGCGAATGAGCTGTGAGTAAGCCCCTTCTGGATCCTTGATCAACTCACCATGAGTTCCTGGCAATTGGCATTGAATTTTGAAGTTGGTTTTGACTTAATAAATTTATAAAAAACTGAACTTTCAAGTTGAAGGAGTGATGATATGGTTTATACCTCGTTCCACGATTTTCCCCTCCTGCACCACTGCTATGAGGTCGGCATTTCTGATTGTTGTCAGACGGTGTGCAACTACCACAGTAGTCCTGTTTGACATAATGTTTGTCAGCGCATCTTGTACAACACGTTCTGACTCGGCGTCTAGAGCGCTTGTTGCTTCATCAAGGAGAAGAATTTTCGGGTTCTTTAGAATTGCTCTTGCAATTGCTATTCTTTGCTTTTGTCCACCAGATAGTTGGGTTCCATGCTCTCCTACCATAGTGTCAAGCCCCTATAAACAAATTTTTACTAGTGCTAATTAGATCAGTCATTACAAGTGAAAGAATTACTATAAAAAAGGGAGAGGGGAGGGGGAAGATTTGCCTTTGGAAGCTTGTCGATGAACTTGGCCACGTTAGCAAGCTCTATTGCTGTTCTAATCTCTTCATTGGTAGCATTTTCCTTTCCATATGCTATATTCTCTCCTATTGTAGTGCCAAACAAAATAGGCTCTTGACTAACAAGACCCATTTTCTCTCTTATCCATTTGAGTTGAAACTTCTTCAAATTGATACCATCTATGAGCACTTCACCGGCTTCAGGGTCATAGAATCTCTGCAATAGGCTGATAACTGTTGATTTCCCGCTTCCACTTTGCCCAACTAAGGCTGTGGTTGTGCCACTTGGAACCTGTAAAGAGAATCCAGAGAATATCTGAACGTCGGGCCTGGCTGGGTATCTGAAGTGCACGTCTTTCAGTTCAATTTCGCCCTTTATATCTTCCATTACAATCCCACTTGTGTCATACGCATCAATCTGTGGTTTTCGCTTGATTGTCTCAAACATCTTGTATGCTGCTGCTTGCCCTGCAGCAAATGAATTCAAACACGGGGATGTCTGGCCCAATGACCTATATGAAGTGAAACCCAACTCAGATCAATCAGTCAAAACAGAATTAGGGACACAATTGCAGAATTAAGAGGGTATGTATTAGCACATTGTTTTTCTGTGGCTAGAAAATTTTATGCTTACATTCCACCAGTCATGATGGCCATGATGACATTAATGACTACTCCGCCATTGTATCCTTTGTCGATGATCAGTTTTGATCCATACCATATGGCAAGTCCATAACTACTGAAAATGATTACTAACATTGTACCGAGTCCTATCCCAGAAGCCAACCCTTGTTGAGTAGTAGCGGCATAGGCAATCTGCAGTTTGCTGTTGTACTTATTTATCGCTAGCTTCTCTCCGGTGAAGGATGCCACCTGTCATAAAGAGGGTCGCAAAATTCAGGACTTTAGAAAATTCAGGACAACAATTTATTACTACAAGTTTTGTGGTGCCTCACTGTTCTAATGCCTCCGACCGTTTGTTCAACAACATTTCCAGCCTCTGCATAAGCAACTTGTCCACGGCTAGACATTCTTGTCATGATTATGGCCATGCCTCCACCGGCAATGACTAGAGCGGGAATGCACGTAAGCAAGACTAATGAGAGAAGCCATCCTCTAGCAAAGGCAATGGCAAATCCTCCGATAAATGTTGACATCAGTTGTATGAACTTTCCTACCTGTCATAGCATTGCAAGTAATGAAATTATTATAGAAACTGACTTAGGTGCATTAATTGATTGTACTTAGCAGCAAGTTTTGAAGAATGGAGTCTTAAGTAACCTTTTCACCCATAGCATCTTGGATGAGAATTGTATCGCCAGACATTCTACCAATGACCTCTCCGGTGGTAGTTTCAGTGTCGAAGAATGCAATGTCCTGTCTTAATATTGTTTTCAAGTACAATCGCCTTATGCGCTCTGCCTGCCTTTCCCCGGTAACTATCCAACCAGTCACCTCTGTAATGGATTTACAAGTAAATTAGTGTAAACATTCAATTTTCACAAGATTTAAAGCAATAGAGAACTCCAGATTAAGGCATGTTTTTTATTGTATCTTATTACTTGTTATATGAGGATCCATGCTCAAATCTTCAATGCACTAAAAGCAGTTTTGAGTCATCAGATGTTAGTATTACAAGACAACTCCACAGACTGCAATGGACAAGACTCAGTTACTATGCAACACATAAATCTATTTTCCAGCAAGACTTCAAGTTAACACGAACTTTAGACTAAATCGATATTATGAATATACAATCAATTAGTTAACTGTCGACTGCTCTGTCATTGGGCTACTAAGAAATAACAGGAGATTATATCTTATAGAATTCAATTCTTGTTCTAAATCTACCATCAATATGAACTCGAAGCTTTCTTTGCAGCTCCCAAATTTTTTTCATAGTGATTCCCTTCCGTATCTCATTTTATAGGGAGTATTTTACTTTATTATATTCTATCCATATTCCAATTTTATTCATTTAATATTAATATTAGGGGTGCAACTTAGGTTGGTTCGGTCAGGTTGGGGGTTTGCCCAAGTGCAGCCCGAATTATGTTTGGCAGTGCCCAAGCCCGACCATCAACCCGAGCTTGGCTGCCCAAGCCTGGACCAAGCTTTAAAATTTGAACTCAGGTTAGCCCGAATTGCCCGAAATTCACAAGGCAACAAACAGCCATTTTACATGATAAGGCATGATTTTAATCTTGGCTTAGTGCTCTGCTAAACTGGTTTCGCACACCTAACTCCACTCAAATCACTCAACTCCACTCGCTAGCCTACCTCATTGCCTCGCCTAACCATTGCAAACTATGATTAGAAGGGCGCCATGTTGCCATGCCAATCTAGGTCAAGAGTAGGGCCTATGAACCCCCTCAGCTTGGTGCCTCAATCATGGGATGCTCGAGGAATCTATGACCCTGTGCAGGATCACTAGGTCCTTGTGGAATGGGGACTAAAGTTGGGGATCACTTTAATATTAAGGACAGCTATTTAATTTAATTTACACATATATTATATAATTTATATAATATATTAAATACAATTCAGGTTCGGGTTGCTCGGATTAGTCACTGATTCTGTCCAGGCCCGGTTCGAATTACAATTCAGGCATCAAAAATTTGCCTAGGCCCATCCAGATTACAAGATATTTTTGCCCAAGCGCTAAAAAAACTCGAGCTGGGCACGGGTTGCTCGGGTTGAACCCGCCTGAGTTGCACCCCTATTTAATATTCTTTGTATCCCCCATATAAAAAACAAAATATCTTTAGTATTGTTTACGTGCCGCTTTTACTTGTCTTTTTATATTGTTGAAAAGTTAACATGTAGCTTATGAATTGTAGAAATAAATTTATTATTTATTTTATATATATATATATATATTAATGAATTGTAGATTCAAATGAGAATAATATGACTCTTCCATTAACATTTTACTTAGATCTAAAACACCTTTGAGCTTTCACACTGCTAGTGTTAACACAGTTGCTATACTATAAAGTAGTAGGAAAGTGCTTTTTTTATCTGATGTGCTAAAACAGTAGTAGGAAAGTGCTTTTTTTTTTATCTGATGTGCTAATGTTGTTAACACAACTGCTAACATTTGTGAATCCATGTGATTAAAATATTGACTTTTCAACAAGAAAATAACCCAAAAACCAATTTAAATTATTTTATTCACTCCCTATATACACATTTATATATTCTTACCTCTACATTAATCTATCACTACTTTAACACATTTTAACATTTTTATTATAATATTTATATATTCACTGAATTAACAAATCTTTAACGTACAAAATGAAGTAATATTTTTGTCACCTTATAGCATATTGAAAATTATTTTTACCACATCTATTGATAATTCTCAAATAGTCATGTTTCACTTGAGTTTCGGTGAGGTATTATTGTTTAGTCTTCTTAAAACACCACATTAATTGTGTGATCACTCAACTTTAAGTTATGTGTTTACATGACTCAAAATATAAGAATGATAGTACAGAAGTCAAGCAACAGTATTGGTCAAACCCACATCAACATGGTGTTATGGATTTGGCCAACTCTTTATCCTCCTGATTTTGTGGCAATATGTGTACTCAAAGTTTAAAATTTTTTTTTTTTAATCAAAACATTACAAGAGAAGGGAGAGAGAGAGAGAGATAGGTTGGGGGCACCCATCCGCAAACTGTCACATCTGCCAAGACTCAAGAAAAAACACACATACAGAAAGTCAATCAGTTTATTTGGTTTTAATTTTTAAGATTTATTTTTTAAAAAAATTAATTTTTTATATTTTTTTATATATCTTTTTATTTTAATTGATTTTTTTTAATATTCTAAATAATTTTTTTTTTATTTTTAGGCATACTAAACATAAATATATCTAAAAAATAAAAAAAAATTGTGAAAAAAATCTTTTAAAAATTCACTAAATTCCAAAAATATAAAAAAAGTACAAGAATTCAGTATAATTTTTTGTATTTTTATATATATATTAATTTTTTAAAATATTTTTTCACAAATTTTTTACTTGTTAGATACATCTAAGTAAGGTGCATCTAAAAAAGTAAAAAAAAAAATGTTTATTTTTAACAAATATTTTACTTTTTAGATATATCTAAGTAAGATGTATCTAAAAAAATATAAAAAAATTACTTAAAATCTTAAAAATATTTATTAAAAACAAAAAAAAGGAAAAATAAAAAAAGTAAATTTAAAAAATTAAAACCAAACATACTGAATGTTATCCAAAAGACCATTAAAAGCACAACAAATCCCAACAAAAAAAAGCCCCCCGTGCAGCACAAACACACTGACAAAAGAGTGATGATTCCAAAACCTATATATATGACTCAAAAATTATCCCATATCGCATAATACTGGATCATAATTGATTCAATACATTTCTTTTTGTACCTACAATGGGTGCTATATTGAATTTGAATGTGATTTCGGATTTATTTATATTGATTTTGATTGACTACTATAGAGTTACATGCGTTTCACATGAATCAAACATAAACAGACAATTTAGATTTATTTATGAAATGACCATGTGATTGTCATAGATGAAAGCTAATAATTGCTTTATTAGACTATGTTAAGCAATCAAAATTATATTCTTAATTAATCATAGAATTGTAGTGCTATCAATAAATCGTAAAACTCATTAACTAAACATAATATCAGATACAAAATGTATTGATGAACATGATTTTCTAAAAATAAGCCTTACTGACAAGTCTTGTATAATTATGGCTTTTTTGGATGTTCAATTTTGTATTTAGTGTTTGTATTTTGAGACCTACTAGAGTGTAATGGCCATTGTACCAACAATGAGAGATAACATAGACAATAAAATATTTTTATGTATGCTTGGTCAAAAGAAAATGTTCAACAAAGATTAAAGCAGTCATAAAGTAAGCTATTAAAACAAAAGAGATGGCAATAAATCTAGATAGAAATGATGATAGCAGCACTTACGTAGGAATGAAGCAATACCCGAAGCGAAGGCCAAGTACAAAAACCTCAGGGATACCTGAATTCACATCCATATAATGCTATTAAAGGTATTGCAACTAAAATTAATGGGAAATGATTTGTCATCAAATTTATTTATAAAAATCTTACAAAAATGATGTTGTAGTGATATTTTAAAAATTGTAAGTGATTTTAATAGATTTTTTGGTTTGAAATGAATAGATACATATCTATCCCTTTATTTTGTATGAATTTTCTATACGATTTTTCTATTTGTATTATGACTCAAAATTAATTAGGAGGTTTTAAGTTTTAACTCTACTTGAAAAACTAGATTTACAGATACTGAAAGTAAATTGTTAGAAAATAAACTCAATGAAAGAGTTTCAAGATAGACACAGAACAAAGTATACAATGGCAAAGATAATAGAGGTGACAAGATTTGAACTAATGACCTTTGTTACAATATTAAGTTATCAATTATTTTGACAGTCTTCAAATTTGCCTTGGTCCATGTAACTTTTCTCAAGAGATATATATATATATGTATATATGTAAAAAAATAGAAGAAAAAGTTAAGGTAGAGTAGCTCTCCCCTTAACTCATCAAATGAATGCAGGATTCAAAATTATATTTTTGGAACAAAAATCAAAGTGCCCCGCTATAGATTTTTGTACATTCCTCAACTAGTCAATTTTATGAGAAAATATACAACTATTTGTATTAACGAATATTTTGGTGGTATCATTAACAAGATTTTTACTACTAAGCTATATATATATATATATATTTTTTTTTTAAGAATTAATTGAACTAACTCAATTAGTCACTATTTTACACTTTTAATTGAGAAGTCATGAATTATTCAGAAGTTATTTGTCTCTCATTATGAGATTCTTTGTATTGGTGTAGCGATGGTTGATGTTCAGTTTGCGGATGTATATTATTAGATTTTTTAACATAATTAATTATTTTTTTTATCGGCTAAAATCAAAGTGCTTGCCCAAGTAGAGTTAAATCCATGATCTTTCTCCTATGGACTAAGCCCTTAAAAAAGTTATGGTGACAAACTAGATTAGGTCTAGTTGGTTCATAATTAATTGTTCAGTTTGTTGTAATTTGTTTAATATTTATCAAAAAAAAAAAAAAACTTCTAGAAAAAGAATATGATAAAGTGAATTCATGGCATGTTTCAAGGTCCTCCAGTGGGTTCAAGTTTGAGCTAGGATGATGAACAATGCTATGCTAAAAGTAATGCTTGACCAAATAGTATAGCAAGTGTGGTAGCACGCATGATATTCCAAATGCCCATTGTCGTGTCGGCCACCAAAATATAGGTGGAATAACCTCTTTCCCACATTAAAAAAAAAAAAAAAAAGCTAAAAATCTCAAAAAAATATAGTGCGAATTTCATATTCATATGAGATATTTAACAAAAAAATTAATAATTTTTTTTGGGAGATATCTAGCATGTGAGATATTTACTTAAAAATTTTAAAATTTTTAATATCTCTAGTATTTAAAAAAAAAAAAATACATTCTTTTCTCACAAAGAAAGAGACTCCTCTACTAAAGCTTACAAGCAAAGAGAAACGCCCATTATTAGTAACCTTGCGCCTTCACACATATTCCCAATTTTTGATTCAACAACTAACACATAAAACAAATTCTACTACAAAACTTTCTTTAAAAAAATAAAAATAAATAAATAAACAAAATCAAACCAAATTTAGGTTATGCTTAAAATTAATTTTCAAATTTCAAATTGTTTTCTACTTATTTACTAAACTCAAATTGTTCCATAAAATCACTACAAATCGTATTTTCAAAATACTCAAAACACGAATTTAAAGAGTTGAGTTTATAAAATAAGTTCAAAATTATTTAGTATGAAAAAATATGTTTAAAAAAGGCTTAGGTTTGGTTAAAAAAAAATAAAAAATAAAAAATCATGTAATATTCAACGATTTAAGCATCTGCGAAACCTAAACAACAGCAGCTGTATGTCACCATTCAATTAAATGATCAAAATTTACTAAAAATTAGCATCTAGTTTCGTTTTGAATTAGGAAAAAGATAAGTCCATTCACTTTACGTAATTCTTCAAATTAACTTGAGATCTAAGATTTTCTTTTTTCCGGGTCTCTCTCATCTCATCATTATTTGGTGAATGAAATCTTTAAAGGCAAATATTAAAATTATTATCATGATTGGAAATAAAACGTAATGACTAGGGCCTCGTTTGGAAAGTGACCATTTTAGTAGGTTAAAATTTTTGTGTTTGGGAAGATGATTGGATTTTTTTGTGATTTAATGTGATGTTTGTGAGAGAAAAAGTAAAATGATTATGGGTTTGATGTGATATTTTGTCTTATTAGCTATTTTAGCCTATTTTATCTTTTTGTAATTTTTAACCTAAACTAGATTATTTTTTTTCTTCCCAAACACCCCCTAGGTCAATCAATGTCTCCCTCTCACACTAACACATGAAAAATAAATAAATAAATAAAAGAAAGAAAAAGAAAATCAAGAACAAGAAAATCAAGAAAATTAAAAAAAGAAAAAAGAAAAAAAAAGTACCTTTGAAACTTCATGGACAACATGTGAAGGATCTGAGCTACTGAAAGAGTTGATGAGTGTGCCGAAAATCAAGGTCATGACAGGCTGAGCCATCCCATTCGCTATAGCAGAGACCGTGCCGACGATCATCAAAGCAATATCGAACCTGTCTGCAAACGAAAATAGCCTGTAAAATGCAACCCTTTGATCTCCCAGCTTCCCGGTTTCGCCTCCTTCTCCATTCACTGTCCCCCTCTCTTCTTCCTTCATTCTTCTTCTCCAAGATTAAATATATGTATATAAATGTGTGTTTGTGTCAATTCTGAATTATGTGGGAAAAAAAAAAAAAAAACACTGTTAAACTAGGAATGAGGAGGGGGGATATGAATGAGATCTTCAAGAGATGGGTGCGTGTGTATGCATATATGTGTGAGTATGGAGAAGCCACATATATAGGGTGGGATTAGGGTACATGACAGGCTTGCTTTAGAGGTTGTTACGTGAATCTAATTTTAGTTTGTAATTCATCTTCTAGAAGCCTTTTACTTTAATCCAACGCTACAACCTATATATATACACACACATACACTTTCTCCTCCCCAAATAGTGATATGATTAAAGCCTTCACTCCCGTTGGGCATGTCACTTATGGGATATGAATGAGATCATTAACACAGCCTGGCAGTGACCATGGCAATTTGAGTATATTAGCTTATTTTTAGATAGGGCAAATTAGGACTGTAATCGTTATAGTATATCTCTTGTGTCATTTTAGTTCCTATACTTTCAATTAGCTTGATTTTGACCATGAATTTACTATTTTGTTTTAATTTGGTCCAATTGATTACAATTTTTAATTTTTTTTTTATAGAGAAACGCACATAAGTGTCACGTGCCATAGTTTTAAGGATAATATTATAAACTTACTTAATTCAGTTAGTTAACCTCAACCAATTTAGTAATAATTTTTTTAAAAAACACTAATGATATTATTAATCGGACCAAATTAAAATAAAATTTAAATTTGACAGTCAAAGTTGAGCCAATTTAAAGTGTAAGAACTAAAATAACACATGGAGTAAAATATAGGAATCACCGATTCACGGGTATAATTTGCTCTTTTAGATAAAACTATCCCTACTGTTATTTTATTACTTAACTACCTCTTACCACTATTGTTGCCTTCGACCACCACTAACCGCTGACGCTGGTGATAACATTCTGGCAACTCTCTGGCATAGTGAAATTTCTTTGACTCAGTGAAAATTTATTGTGTTAAGTCAGTGAAATTTCACTATAAAATTCACAAGAGAAATTTCTCTTTTAAATGAAATAAAATTTTTAATTAGAAGGAAAAATATATCATAAAAAAAGTACCAAAAAACAAAATTTAATGAAATCAATAGCACAATACCAATTTCTAATATGAAAAATATCTTAGTTTAAAGAAAATTTCAATCCAAATAACAACGTTTAATCTATGTTAACGCAGATAATTTTTTTCTATATTTTAACATAGAGACAGAGAAAAATATAATGACACAGAGAAAATTATGTATTTCAACACAAAGAAAAACACATAGACAGAGAAGTTTCGTATTTCAACATAGATAGATGGAGAAAATCACTGGAAGAGAGAGAGAGAGAGAGAGAGAGAGAAGATAAGAGAAAAGAGATTTAAAACTCTTTCATCAGATTTGTGTACAAATCGGGGATAATGAAATAAATCGACCGAGAGAAAGAAAAACATGTTAGACCTACATACAGATTGAAGAGAAGGTGGTAAACGACAGTAGTTAGGCAACGATGGTAGATGAAAAAACGTTGGTAGATGTGGTTGAGAGAGAGAGAGAGAGAGAGAGAGAGAGAAAACAAATCCCGATAAATGAACATCGGTAGATGTAGTGACGACATCAGATATATGGTAGAAGTGGTACTAGAGAGAGAGAGAGATGACTCGTGAAAAATTAGGGTTTCTAAAATTAAAAGGGCATATTGGTCTATGTCTGTCAAAGTTTGTCCTTATCATTTTAAATTTTAGGGACCTTAACTATCAAATTAATTTTTGTTATCCTTAAACTCTTTTACAAACATATAGGAGGATCTCTCTCTAATTTTTGGATGGTCACACTTATAGGATTTTCACTCTCATTTTAGTATTTGTGAAAACTTATTCACCATATTTGGTTAGTTTCAAACTTTGTAAGTTCCAAAAAAAAAAAATAATAATAATAATTATAATAATAAATAAACAAATAAATAAACTGTGTTTTTTTCCCTTTCAAAAAAATTTTAAAAAAATCTTTTGTAGAAAAATTATTTTTCTGAAATTTTTAAATAATCCTTTTACATTTATTTTTGTCAAAATAATTTCTAGTTTTTGAACAAAAAAAACATAAAATGAATTTTGGAAACAAAATCAAACAAATTGGCTATCAGTGTTAACTATATTGAACCAAACAAAATTTATAACTATTAAACAGAGTGATTATAAATGTTAAAACTACAGAGGTTGAAAGGCTAATACTATACAAACAAAATTTTTATGTAAAAAATTTATACAAAATAATATGATTTTATTTTATCCTCTTATTTCATATTTTGAATTTGTAGAGAAAAAAGAAAACAAAAAATCTTTCGAAAAATAAATAGGGAAATTTAGCTATAAACCCCTTTTACCTTCCTTTCACTATTAGAAGGATTAAGAAAAAAATTATACTTTCTAAACCCCCTCATAATTATAAAGTCTTGCATAAAGGACAAAATTTATTATTTAAATATTTTATAGGACTATTATACCCACAATTTCTGCATATATAATCAGCTTCGTCATCAACTGTATCATAATCACCATAGTTGCATCTTCCAAGCTTCAGCAGAAGGTCGTCGACAAGCCGTCGCCATAGTCGCGTCTTCCAAGTTTCAGCAGAAGGTCCTCTCTTCATCTTCATAATCAGCAACGATGTGGCTTTGAGTATGTTGAAATTGAATGACGATGTCGTTGGAGATTCGAAAGCTAGGGTTTCGGAGCAGATGGAGATTCGGAGTGCGGTGGAGATGGCTCAATTGGAAGCGGAGAAGAAACATGATGAGGTTGTTGATGAGATGCTGGCGATGTTGAATGCGAAGGCTGAAGCTTCGAGATTGAAAGAAGTTGAACAGGAGGTTGGGAAGGATGTGGATGAGGAACAGTAGAATATGTATATATATATATATATTTGTGTGTATGAGTGTTGTTGAACACAAGTATTCTTCTTCATTGAGATGTGTGATTGTTGATCGAGTTTTAGAAGTTTTTCGTTTCAATTAGATATGTGAATTTGTTGATTAATTTGTTTTGTTTTTGTTTGTTTGTTTTTTTTGAAGTTTTTTTTTCTCAATTAGATATGTTGATTTGTTGATTAATTTGTTTTGTTTTTGTTTGTTTGTTTGTTTTTGATTTATTTTTGTTATTTTTTATCTAATTTCATTTGACAGAACCAGAGTAAAATTTTACTCTGGTTCTGTTGCTCTGTTTTTTTCATTTGACAGAATCAGAGTAAAATTTTACTTTTGTGTAGAGTCTAACATTTTACTAGTTTTTCAGAGTAAAATTTTACTTTTATACAGAGTAAAATTTTACTTTTAGTTTCAGAGTGTAACATTTTACCCTTATTCAGAGTAAAATTTTACTTTTATACAGAGTAAAATTTTACTTTTAGTTTCAGAATGTAAAATTTTACTTTCATACAGAGTAAAATTTTACTCTGAAATATATAGTGAAGATGGCTTAATAGGAGAGTTGATAGATATGAGGGTAATATAGTAAAAGAAACAAGTTTTAAAATATTATGGGGTTTTGAAAGTACTTATATAATTCTTATCATTTTGAAAGACAAATTAGATAGTGAGTGGGCTATCACCAAATCCCCCAAATAAAAATAAAAAATATTATAATCACTCCCCTAAGGAAATTGATTAACAATAAACATAAAATAATTGTATATTATTTACAATACAAACTTTTATAAAAACGTACCAAAAAATATTAAAATATAAACTTTATTATCGACTCATGACAAAATTTTAAAATAATAATAATAAAAAGTAGAAGATTCACACATAAACAATGTTTGAAGTAATAAGATTACAATAAAAGTTAGCACTGGATTTTGTGGAGCTGTTGAATGCTAATGACAAAAGAGTCATTTGTGTGTTTTAGTTTTTTCACTTTAGGCATCTTAGAGACAATTTGTAGATTTATGTCTCACATTAACTTTAGTTTCTTTTAGATTTTTTGGATTCTTTACGCTTCTTTTACTTTTGCAATTATTAAAAGATGGTCATTCTCATGTCAAAAACAAAACAAAACAATTTTAATCTATAATTCATAACAGAAAGTTCTAAATTAATCATCATTCGATTCACAGTTAATTATTATTTAACACTTTTTTGCTTTGACAATCACAGTAAAGCATCCTCATAACCGAAACGAAGATAATTACCAAATTTGATGAAACCATTAACAATTCAAGCCACACACGTTTTGGAAAAACAAAAAGGAAAAAAAAAAAGTAATTGGAAATTTCTTTTTCAGCAAAGTTAAAGGCCTATATTTTTAGACTTACAATTTCACCTATAATGATGTGACAAAAAAGTTGTACCTTGTATCATTGGGGGTGTAATTAATCAAAAATTGACACACATTATACCACATCATTATGGGTACAATTATGAAAACTTTTAGGGTTCTCAAATATATATATATATATATATATTTTGGGCAAACAACATAATATTAGTGGGTTAGTAAGTTAGATTACAATAAACCAGACATTTGGCCTAGTGATTGTGTAATACCGTTTGTGGTGTGAAGCTGACCAACTGTCTTGTCCCAACTTTTGGTTATGATGGTGTGGGGACATATTTTTAGGGTTGTCCACGTGGTCGAGAATGTTGGCCGAGGTGCCACGTGAATGGATCAGACTGTTGAGATATGAAACGATCATATCGGAATCCGAGATATTTAGATAAAGGACATGAGTCCTAGATGGTTTCAAGCTCTCTATTTGGATAGAGCTGGGCTCTAAGAGGATTTCATTCTAATCTGAATAAAAGGAGTACAAGATAGATATTATCCTTGTAAAGGATAGTCTTATGAAATGAGACTCCTAAGAGACGAGGGCATTGCTGACTATAAAAGTAAGGCACCCCATTGGTCTAAGGTACATTTTATTTTGTGAGTACTGTGATTGAGTTGCTATCTTTGAAAAATAAGTTGACTGACTTGATCGTCGGAGTGCCCCTGGATGGATGAGTCATCGGTGTTTGTTGTCTTCTTGTGTGCAGGTGTTGGGCTTCTCAATTCTTTTGTGTGCTCTATGACTAAGTTCCTAGGATCTCGGCGAGGAGATTCGATTTGGTTGTGAGGTCAAAAATCAACACCCACAATTTGGCACCGTCCGTGGGAACTTAGTAAGAATATATGGCCAACATTGAGTAGGGAGTACGAGACAGAGACGATATGCACAGTGAGGAAGATGAGCACGTAAGTCTTGTTGGAGGAGAAGAGAATGATTGCGAGGAAGTAAAAGAGGAGAACCTAGAAATGAAC